GGGTGGAAGGAGTCGCTGGGGAGAAAAAGGGACATTTGTAATATTTTGGACAATAAAAGTGTGGGAAACATAGCCTTAGTTATTCTTGTTTGAAATTTCTCCCACAAAATATTCATTTGGAAATAAACTGGAGATGTGAGTGAATTATTGCATTTAGGCATTTAGATTTTTTAAGAGTTTTTTGGCTTCAGTTTTCAATTTTGATCCATATCTCAGTACATAAGTTATTAACATTAATAAACCATTAGTTCTGATTATTTGCTTAGCTGTGTATATAGAATTTAAATTAAATCAATGGAAGCATGCAAAAGCAATTTTTAAATGTATTTTCCTTGAAAAGTTTTCTTGAAATAATTTTCACTTTTAGGTTGTATACTATTAATGTCAAGAAAAAGAACATGGTTTGTTTATTTGTTTATTTACATTTTAGGTTTGAAAAATGTGTGAGTGCTAAGGAAGCTGTGGAGACTGATCTTTATAAACGGTTTATCCTGGTCCTGAATGAGAAGAAAGCCAAGATCAGAAACTTACATAAATTGTTAAGTGAAGTTCAAGAACTAGAAAAGAACATCGAGCGTGAAAGGTATTTTGACCCTTCTGGTTTTAGATGGCAGATGCATAAATTTAAGTGGAAATTCTTCCCAAACTCAGTGCAGGTTAGGTGCCATCTTTTTAGTAATATCAGATCATTTACTAGTGGGGGTTGGATGCTCCTGCTGTTGGATACAGTGGGGTGGAGATTTCCCAACATGATCTCTCCATGTCTGTCCAGCTGTCACACCTACACTTAAATCCGAAACTGGCATGAGGTTTATCTAACTATTATTTGTTTAATTCTTAGACATCACTAAGAAATATAGTAACTAAAAAGTTTCATCCTCACAACTAGAGAGTGGTACACACATTTATAATCTTGATGACTAAGTAATGGTTAATATGAGAATCAAGTGGTTTTGAGAGTAAATATGTACTTGATTTTTAAGGCAGAATCATAGGTAACTAATGCTGATATAGCTTGAATATTTATAATTATTTTAGGCATTTGCAGATACAGGTTTGGGTCTGTTGACCTGAATCCGAGAAAAAACATAGGTTTACTAGTGGCATAATATAAAGAATGTAACATCTGATGTCAGATGGTCCTAGTTCAAGTGCTAGGCTGGCACTGATATCTGTTACTACACAACTTTAGGTAAGTCCTTGAAACTCTGTGCCTTACTTGGATATCTCCATAGTACTAGAACGAATAAAAGTACCAGACTCAGAATTTTCAGACCAAATGAAAGGCAGAACTGCTTTGAGATTAAGCTGTTGAACACTGCGACCCAGAGAAGAATAGTATTTTGACAGACGGATAATAAGCGGTAAGAAACTGATTTAAGAATTGATAGTGAGCACTCAACACATTTGGGTTAGCTAAAAGATAAACTTGTTCTTCAGAGAGTTAACATATAGTCTTTGAAGTACTTTCATCTTAAACATATATATTTCAATATATGTTTGTTAAATTATAATGTTTTCCCAGGGATATTTTCTTTAATTACTTACTAGTGAATTTGATACCTTGCCAAGGGTGAGCCAATAATTTAGTTCTAACTTTCTCTTTTTCTAGGGAAACTGCAACATGTTCTGAAATGACTGCTGACAGAGATGCAATATATGATGAAAGTACTGATGAGGAAGATAAAAACCTGCCTGATCCTTCAACATTAGCCCCAGGTAAAGTAAATATATTGATTTCTTTTTCTGAATCTTTCACTTTGGCTTATTACTCTAATGATAATAATCCATAATGGAAAATGCTATGAAAAAAAAAACTCTCTACAGAAAACTCTTTAGGGTTTTTAGTCTAAAACCTTCATTTTTAACAAAACAAGCAAGGATGAACACATACACATGAACCAAAGTATACTATTCCTTGTTAAACAAAGAAGCATAATCGATAAGCTATGCCTTGGTGCTAAATATCTCCAGCTCAAAGCTGGCTGCCTTTAACATTTGAGATTGAGTCTAGCTAGAGCTATGGGTAGGGTAATGAGGCAGGGTGGCTGAGAATTTTTAGATTATCCTGAGGTTGAGACCTCCTCTCACTGTTAGAAAAGGGATTCTAATGGGGTGAGATGGGGTCGGCAAGAAGGGAGGAGAAATGGCACTTTAAAGTACTCGAGCCTTTCTCAGTCCCTCAGGTCAGGTGCCCAGCAAGCAGGTTTTAAACCTATGGATTATTTTACTAGAGTTTTATAGATTTTTCTATAGGCAGAAGCCCCTGAGCTCATTTAATACTTACATGGTTATGACATAGACCAACATTCTCAAAATTATTATTGGATTCATTTATTTACCAAATATATCTTGAGTGTCTGTTATGTTCCAGAAACTTTTCCACGTGGTAGAGAAGAAAATATAAAAGTTCTGCTTTTGTGGAGTTTAACTTCTAGTCAAACAATAACAGAATAAATACATTTAATGTAAAATATGTTAAGTGCTAAAGAGAAAATTAAATCAGGGAGAGACAACAGAAAATGTCAGGGCGAGAGTAGGATGAGGGCTGTGGTTCTGGCCCGGCAGCGGCAGAGGCTCGGTCAGCAGGCGGGGCGTTTGCCCATGGGGAGCGTGCGGGGGGAAGGGGTCAGGTGCGGAGGCCGAGCCACAGAGCTGGGGCAGGGTGCGGGAAGTGCAGAGGTGGCGGCAGGGAGACTCAGGAGGGGACAGCAGAGAGGCCCGTCGCGTGTGGGCCTTAGAGTAGTGATTTCAACTTGCACTTTGAGTTATGCTGGAAACTTTTGTAGGGTTTTAAACAATCAACCGACATGATCTGACTTACATTATGTTAAATTTAATTAAATGTGTTGGGTCACTTTGGTTAAGAACATCAGATAGGTCTCAGCGTGCGGCTCCGTAGGGCACCATCTGTGCACGGCTTTGTGTGTCGGCCACCTGAAGCCTGGCCTCCTTCTGCCGCCTCTTTCCCTTCTTCACCGCCCCCTGGTGGCCACCACCCTGCTCTCTGTCTTACGAGTTTGTTCATTTGGTCGCATGCGCTTTCTGAAAGCCGGCTGAGTTGGGTGCTGCAGATTGCACAGGGAAGATAAAGCTTGGGGCCTGAAGGGTTTAGCAGTGGGAACGTCCCTGAGGCTCTTG